AAATCCCCAAAAAGAAAAATTAGCAATAGCGGAAATAAGGTCAAAATTCAAATATAATATTATTATTATTTAAATAAATATTTTATTTATATCAAACATATATTATATAAATTTAATAATATTTATTATATTATATCAAAAAAATATTATATATATATAAAATATACTATATTTTTAAATAATATCTAATTATTTTAAATTCTATTTTTTCAAATAATTATATTTTTTTTTTCAAAAAAATATTTATATCAAAATAAATAAATTCAAAAAAATCATTTATTATTCTATAAAAAAATATAGAATAAATATATATATATATTAAATATATATATATAATATAATATATATATAATATAATATATATAATATATATATAATATATATTAAATATATATATAATATAATATAATATATATATTATATATATAATATAATATAATATATATATAATATAATATATATATAATATAATATATATATAATATAATATATATATATAACATATAATATTAGGGTCGGCCGGCTGTTTCCAACAGCGGGGAATTACGACAGGAATATATAAGAATCAATATCCTTGTAAATACGTATCCGAAAGTTATTGTTTTTCGAAGTAAGTGAAGAAAAAATTGATCAAAATTGTTTTTAAAAATATTTATCGACAGCAGCTATTACCCCCAAAGTTACGACTCTTCAAATTTATTTGTAAAATTATTTCCGAATACTACTTCCCAAAACTAATATTCTTCAAAATAATTAATTCTTAAAATTATTCCGGAAAACTTGCCAAAATTATGCCCTAAAAAGGTTTCCCGAAACTACTTCCCAAATTTGTTCCCCAAAGTACCTCTGCAAAGCGGTTGTCCCAAAGTGCCTATGTTTCAAACCTATTCCCCAGAGCTATTCTCCAAAGCGGCTCCCGAAAGCTGCTCCCCAAAGTTGCTACCGAAATCTACTCCCCAAAATTGCGTTTTAAAGCTACAGGGAAACGACAAAGTCACGCCTAAGTCATGCCTAGCATGTTTTTAAATGGTATTTACCATTGTAAACGCTGTATCCAAAAAGTCATGCCTAAATCATGCCTAAATGCTTTTCTGCATGGAACACTGTTCGCAATAAAAATATAATTATGTATTTTAGACATGAAAAACAAATAAAATACAATGGAATACGATTAGTGAAAATATTAATTTTCTACTTTCTTATAATCTCATTCTCGTGTACAATCTGCATGTCAATGCTAGGATTCTGCATCATTCTTTTTTTATTTTCTGGGTCGCTTCCCAATACTTTTTTGTACTACAAAGCTTGCACAAAGCACTTCCCAATACTGCTTTGTACTACAAAGCTTGCACAAAGCACTTCCCAATACTACTTTGTACTACAAAGCTTGTACAAACTACTTCACAGCACTACTTTGTACTACAAAGCTTGCACAAAGCACGTTCCAATACTATTTTGTTTTATAAAATTTGCACGAACTACTTCCCAGTACTCCTTTGTACTACAAAGCTTGCACAAAGCACGTTCCAACACTACTTTGTACTACAAAGCTTGTACAAAGCACTTCCCAGTACTACTTTGTATTTCCCAAAGGTGCTCCCCATTCAAAGCTGCTGTTCAAAGCTACTCCGCCTCAAAGCTGCTCCGAACAGCTGCTAAGCTTGCCCCGAAAAGTTGTTTCCGAAAGCGAATTCCCAAAATTTCTAAAGCTATTCCCCAAAGCTATCATTTTTCAAAGCAAATGCCCATCAATGCTGCTTTCAAAGCCGCAAAGTTGTTCCCCGCAGTTGCTCCCCAAAGCTGCTCTTCAAAGTTACTACCGAAAGCCGCGTCCAAAAAATGCTTCCCAAAACTCCAATGCTGTTACCCGAAGCTGCCTCAAAGCTGGTCCGGAAGGCTGTCCAAAGCTGCTCCCCAAAGCTACTGCCCAAAGCTGTTCCCCGGCGCTGCTCCCCAAAGTTGTGCCCCAAAGCTGTTCTCCAAAGCTGTTGCCCTAAAGCTGCGATTCTGCAAACCTGTTCACCAAAACGGCTCCCCAAAGACATTCTGCAAAGTGGCTCCTAAAAGCTGCGACCCAAATTTGCTACCAAAAGCTGCTGTCCAAAGCTATTGCCCGAAAGCTGCGATTCTTCAAATATATACCCTAAAACATCTCCCCAAAGTTATTCTGCAAAGCGGCTCCCGAAAGCTGCTCCCGAAAGCTGCTCCCGAAAGTTGCTACTGAAAGCTGCTCCCCGAAGTTGTTTGTAAAATTGCCCCCGAAAGCTGCTGTTCTTCAAAGCAATTGTTCCTGAAAATTGTTCCGGACAGCTTGCCAAAGTTGCTCCCCAAAGCGGTTCCCCGAAGCTGCTTCCCAAAGCTGTTCGCCAAAGCTCCTCTGCAAAGCGATTGCCCCTTCAAACCTGTTCCCCAAAGCTAGTGTCCAAAGCGACTCCCAAAAGCTGCTCCCCAAAGTTGCTGCCGAAAGCTGCTCCCCAAAGTTGCGTTTACAAAGGTGCTCCCCAAAGCTGAAATTTTTCCAAGCTGCCGTGCAAAGCTGCTCCTCAAAGCTCCTCCCTAAAGCTACTCCCCAAAGCTATTCCCCTGCGCTGCTCCACAAAATTGTGGCCAAAGTTGTTCTCCAAAGTTGTTGCCCCAAAGCTGCGGAAAGCTGCTCCGGAAAGTTGCTGCCGAAAATTGTTCCCCAAAGTTGCGTTCTAAAAGCTACTCCCCAAAGGTGCTCCCCAAAGCTGCAGTTCTTCAAAGCTGCCGTGCAAAGCTGCTCCTCAAAGCTGCTCCCTAAAGCTGCTCCCCAAAGCTGTTCCCCTGCGCTGCTCCACAAAGTTGTGCCAAAGCTGTTCTCCAAAGCTGTTGCCCGAAAGCTGCGATTCTGCAAACCTGTTTACCAAAACGTTTCCCCAAAGCCATTCTGCAAAGCGGCTCCCGAAAGCTGCGCCCCAAAGTTGCTAAGCCTGCCCCCGAAAGTTATTTCCGAAAGCGGCTTCTAAAAGTTGCTTTCTAAAGCTACTCCCCAAAGCTGTCGTTCTTCAAAGCAACCGTCCGTCAATGCTGCTGCAATGCCGCAAAGTTGCTCCCCACAATTGCTCCCCAACTTCCGAAAGCTGTTCTCCAAAGTACCTCTGCAAAGCGGTTGCCCCAAAGCGGCTATGCTTCAAACCTGTTCCCCAAAACTATTCTCCAAAGCGACTCCCGAAAGCTGCTCCCAAAGGTGCTCCCCAAAGCTGCGGTTCTTCAAAGCTGCCGTGTAAAGCTGCTCCTAAAAGGTGCTCCCCAAAGCTGTTCCCCTGCGCTGCTCCACAAAGTTGTGCCCAAAGCTGTTCTCCAAAGCTGTTGCCCCAAAGCTGCGGAAAGCTGCTCCCCAAAGTTGCTGCTGCCCGAAGCTGCCAGCTGGCCTGGAAAGCTGTCCAAAGTTGCTCCCCAAAGCTGCTACCCAAAGCTGTTCCCCGGCGCTGCTCCCCAAAGTTGTGCCCCAAAGCTGTTCTCCAAAGCTGTTGCCCTAAAGCTGCGATTCTGCAAACCTGTTCACCAAAACGGCTCCCCAAAGTCATTCTGCAAAGCGGCTCCCGAAAGCTGCGCCTCAAAATTTCTACCAGAAGCTGCTGTCCAAAGCTATTGCCCCAAAGCTGCAACCTTCAAACCTATACACCAAAACGGTTTCCAAAGCTATTCTGCAAAGCCGCTCCCGAAAGCTGCTCCCGAAAGTTGCTACTGAAAGCTGCTCCCCGAAGTTGTTTATAAAACTGCCCCCGAAAGATGCTGTTCTTCAACGCAATTGTTCCCGAAAGTTGCTCCGGACAGCTTGCCAAAGCTGCTTCCCAAAGCTGCTGTCCAAAGCTATTGCCCGAAAGCTGCAATTCTTCAAATATATACCCTAAAACGTCTCCCCAAAGCTATTCTGCAAAGTGGCTCCCGAAAGCTGCTCCCGAAAGTTGCTACTGAAAGCTGCTCCCCGAAGTGGTTTGTGTACAGGCAGATCGTAATATTAGTAGTAATAAATTGAGGACATGCCGTTATAGATTGCGGCTTGCAATGCTTGGGGCGCAACAGTGAACAGCCATGCGGTCTACACTGAGGGCACCGCCGCAGGGTTAATATGACTAAATGTGTAGCCATATGAAAATATGCGACTGGTTTGGTTGTGTAACTTCATTCCGCTGCTTGGCGACACTATATCAGCGGCCTTTTTCCAATGCAAAGTCGGCGGCGCCAAAAAGACACTCGTACCGACGACCAGCAAGCTTGAAATATGCGTGGGCCCTATAGTGAATTCAAGAGAGCGACAGTCGCATTCGGTAAATTCAAAATAACGGAAACGCAAAACGAAAGTTCCCAAAGTTTGTATTCGTGAAAAGTCCCAAAATAGTGGC